CTCAAAGTCACAGAGCTAGCAGGTGGAGGAGGGAGGATTTACACCCTGACTCTGGAGTGTGCACCCCCAATCGCCAGGCTACACCGCCTCCTGACAAGCCTGAAGGTGGCGGCTTGGATACAGAAGACAGCCCACGACCACGCGGCATGAGGGAGACTCGCGGGCCGGAACCCAGTGCGTCTGATGCCAAACCCATGAACTTTCCACTATCCTCTTTCATCAAGTCCAAGGCCTTTCTGTCCCTTACTCCCCCACCTCCAGCCCATTTTACAGATGAGGGACCTGAGCCTCGAAAAGGCCCGGCCACCCCGCCACTCTGCGCAGGAGCTTCAGGGGGTGTGCGGAGGACGAAGGCCCGGGCACCAGCTGCTGCAGCGCGCAGGAAGGGGCAGCGGTGGTCTGGTGCCCGCAGCGAGGGTCCCAGGACCCGGGACGACGCCCGCGAGGCGTGATCGAGGGCGGAAAACGGGAGGGGGCACTTACTCCGGCCCATGGCGCCTCTCGGGTTTCCTGGCCCCTCAAGTCCTACCGGGACCCGGACTCCGCAGGACTCCCTTTGCCTTTCTCAGCCGCACCTCCGCGCGTCCCCATCAGAATTAGGGCGCCATGGCAACGAGGACTCTACGGCGGCCGCGCAGGGTCATACAGCGCCGCGTTTCCTAAACTCAGGAGAAGTTAACAGCTGAGAACGCCGTGGAGGGGCTCTGGAGGGGAAACAGGTGGCTCTCCCCAAATCCATTGTCCAGACTGAATAAAATCACGGGATGCTCTTATTTTCTGATGGGATCTGCCGCCTAGGCGTGCCTTTCAGACTTACCCTCTACTCTTTTTATTTTTTTCTCTTTGTTTTTTATCTAAGGCTTCCAGAGCCAGGAGATGGGGGTTTGACCCCCACACTATTTACCAGCAGAGTGACCTTAAACTTCCATAGCCTCAGTTTCCACATCTGTAGGATGAGTAATAATAACTTCAGAGGATTGTTGTGAATCTTTAATGAGATCATTGGAATGCATGAAAGACTGAAAACCACAGGCTCAGTATAAAGCGTGGTTATCATTGCTATATTCCATCTTTTTAAAGTCACCTCACAACACCAGTCAATTTTCTGCTAAGAAGTTTTGTAAAATCACTACCCATTATCCTCTCCACCAATTTCCCTACCCAGCACTCTCCTAATTGTAAAGTACGGGAAGTGTATCTCCTATAGCCCCGTACTCTATGCGAATTTCCCGAGGCCCCTCTGCAAAGGTGTCCAACACACCTTACCCTGGTTCTATAAACTAGGAAGGACATCAGCAAGCTCAGATGTTAAGGTAGTAACGCTTTAATGCATTACATCTCCCCAAAATTTTTAATGTATTATTATTACAAAAGTAATTACTCTCTACCCGTTTGTAAAAAAAAAAAGTGTGATATGTAAAAGATAAAACCTCCTGCCATCAGTCATAGTAAACAGTATGGGGTGCATGCTTCTTATCACATGCGTATTATCTTTGCATTTTAAAAGAAGACTCATAGCAAAGACTTACTTCGCTGAGCGCAAAGAAATTAATTCTTTCGGCAGATAGCTGTTAAACATCTGCTGTTGGCAATTATTGAGGTTTGCCAGGTGGAGACAGGGTCATGAACTTGAGCAGAGAAGCAGAAAAGTCAAATACAGTGGCTTGAAGGAGGAGCTGGGGACGCTAATCCCGTTTGACAGTGTAGAGAACTGCATGGAAGAGAGTTTTGAGCAGCAGTAATCCTGAGAGATTAGATCCAGGTAATGGAGGCCCTAAATGCCAGGCTGAAGGAACTAAACTGAAATGGTGGAATTCCAGGCACTATGTCCCCACAGGGGGAGAAATATTTGGAGTTCCAAGGAGTTCTTCAAAGGCACTCAAACTATAAACCTAAGTGATAGCCACTATTTAACTTTCTTTTTGAAAGCAGGACAGTGTAGTGTGGAGAGTAGGAGCTCTGGCATGGGAATGTGGTTCAAATCCACAGATTTATTACTGTGTGGCACTGGACAGAAGACTCCACCTTTCAGAGCTGAAACTTCTCCATTTCCACATGAAGATGACAATATGGACAAGCATCTATTGCTATGTCACTAAAAGGTCTGAATGTGAGTATCTGATTATTCGTGTGGGAGATTAAATGCCATGAACAGCAAGTGAGTTTAGCAAATATGCCTGTGCTTTAACTTTTGCAGTTTGACAGAAAGGGGTTCGTTAAAACTAAAAAAGGACATAACTTCTGGCAAGAAGTAGGTACCAGGGGGTATTGTAGGTAGAAAAGTTAGTTTCTAAGTTGACGGAGGCATGTGGTCAGGCCTGGTACAAAGGATTTCAGCCTCTGGATCAGAAGAGACCAAGAGATTGCCTAGTCCAGGACTCTAGAAAGTTCTCAAGAACAGTTGCAACCCAGGCATCTGATAGTTTGGCTCTGAGCTTTTATCCTCCCCCTCATACTTGCTGATTCTTGAATTCTTAACCTGTCTAGTTGTCAAAGACACTACTATGGTTTGAATGTTTTTATCCCCTCCAAAATTCATGTTGAAACTTAATCCCCAATGCAGCAGTACTAAGAGGTGTGGTCTTTGGGAGGTGATTGAGTCCTGAGAGCTCCACCTTTGTGAATGAGATTAGGCTCCCATGTAAAAGGGCTTGGTTGAGGGAGTTTTCCCTTTTAGTCCCTTCTGTCCCTTCTGCCATGTGAGGACACAGCATTCCTCCCTTCTGGAGAAAGCAGCAATAAGGTGCAATCCAGGAAGCAGAAACAGGCCTCTTACCAGGCGCTGAACTTGCCAGTGCATTGATTTTGGACTTCTAGACCCCAGAATTATAAGATATAAACTTCTGTTCTTTATAGATTACCCAGTGAGGCATTTTGTTATAACAGCACAATGTAGGACAGGGTCCTTGGATTTTTCCTGTGAAACTCAGTATCTGTGGGACCAGAGTATTCTATTCATTTATTCATAAGTGAGCAATGAAGCTGTCATTCTTCTGGGTTAAAATCTCTAAGTTGTTTTTAAATGTGGTGTGCTCAACACTGCCCACATGCTTTGAAACTGCAAGCTAAATTCTCACAGTAACCCTCAGGTCATGTTATCATTAACATATTACCAATAAGGAAAATGAATCCCAGTGAGATTATATTACTAGAGCAGAGTGAGCCAGGATTTTGTACCCAAATTTGAATTCTTCACTGCATCATTTTCTATATTGGTAGCTGCTTGAGGGCAGAGAGGGAAGTGGTTTCGTCTTGTTTTGTTTTTCCATCTCTTAATCCTAGCTCTCAGCATAATTTCCGACACTGATTGGTTGCCCAATAAGTATTTTTTGAACAATTGATGAATGAGTCAGTGAGCCAATCTCTCCATGTGTAAGGATCCATCTTTTGACTTCAGTAGGGTCACCACAGAGATGTCTGTGTTGTAAGGAGATCTAGCAGGCTCCCCGAGAAAGGTGTCCTATTTTTCTGGTCATTGGACAGTTCCTCATTTTGCAAGGAACCAAAATGTAGGATAAGACCTGGTTCCAGGGGCAGAGTCTTGACAGATTGTCCCAGCCCTCTGGTGGAGCAGGGGAAAGCCTTGGATGATAAAGCAGAGAAACCAGGAATAATTTCTTTGTAATTTGTCAGGGGCCGGGCTGGGCTGGTTATACTGTATCCTTCCTTAACCCAACATCACAATCATCGTGTTTCTTGGAAACAGAGCACCCATAGGTTATGAAGGACATGTGTGCAATATGCTGTGATTGTTACAGTCCACTGACAGGAAGGAAAATTGGGAAATAAATCACAATGTGACAACTCCAAGTAGAGTCAAATTCATTTCACTCAGAGTGAATGAAGTCGTTTAAAGTGTTGTGATGTGTGTCTGTTTATGCAAATCATTGTTCCAAATAGAGTCGTTTCCTTAGCTCCTGGAACTATAACAAGATGAGCAGTGCTTCCTGAGCAAACTGCTGCAAAACTTTTGTGTATATAAGTAGAAGAAATAAATCTTGAAGATAGTTTTTTTTTTAATTCCAATAATAGTAATATAGTCCTCTTATAGTCTTTTGTGCTGGATAAATTCCAGGGACATTGACTTAGAAAGCAATAGGTTCATTCTATTTTCACTGTTACATAAAATTTAGTATTTTTATGATGTGTAACCAATACTATGGTTACAATTCCATTGTGCTTGCCTTAATTTACCTTTAGAAGGGTTTCTTTCTTGCCACTTCATGACAAGTAAACCAAGCCCCCAAGTTTACCAGCATCTCTGCAGTGTCAATTCATTCCTTCCATCTTCCTCCCCTCCTTCCTTCCTTCCTTCCTTCCTCCCTTCCTCCCTTTCTTCCTTCCATCCATCAGCAAGTATCCAATGTCTTCCATATACCAGGAACTGTGAGGATAAATTAACACAATACACATAAAACCCTTAAAAGAGTATTTGACATGTAGGAAGCACTCAGAATCGGCTAACTATTCATTTTTTGAAAACAAACTAATCTCTTCCATGAATAGTAACCCTAAAAAGTGGATACCATTAGTATCCCTATTTTACAGATAAGGAAATTCTACTTTGTAGCAATCCAATGAAAAAAGATTGGAGAAAATCAAACTAGATTACTCTGCTTGCCTAAGGGGAGATTGGAGTAGGAAAGCATCATTTAAGTTGGTCTGTTGGGTCCATCTGAGGAATGACTTCTTATCCCATCTGGTAATGACAGGAAATTAGATGAGAGTTGGAATAGGAAAACTAGATAATTTTCCCAGAGTTTTCTTGACCCATTTCTATAGGAATGAATTTGTGTTGTTAGATATGAATTCTCCAGATATTAGACACTCTTTCAATAAAATGAAAGTACAAAACACATGACAAAATCAAGTGTAAAATGAATTTTAAATGATTATTTTAATTTATCTGTCCAAATTTCTGCCCATCTCCATTAGTTTAATAAAGGCACAAGTTGACATATTAGGAAGGACTTTTACTATCACAATTTGAATATACTCAGAGGAGAGTAACTAGGATGTCCCACTCCACTACTGGGGGATCAAGTACAGGGGCCTTAAGCAAATTGCTTAACCTCATGGTGTCTCAGTTTCCTAATCTGTAAAATGGGAAAAATTAAAATGGATTTTAATAAGGTTTAAAAAAGATGATGTGTAAAGTGTTTGCCCATAATAAATGTTTAATACATCTTGATTTGAGATGTGAAGGTTTTAAAACATGACTACAAATTATTTTACATTCCACCTCAATTGAATGATGATGCTATTCCCCTTTCCTTGATTTCGGAAATGCTTCTGATCATTTTGACTAATAGCATACAAGGGAAGAAACACTAAGTGACTTGCAAAGCTAATTCATAAAATCCTTGCAGCCTCCGCTTTGCTGAACACTGGCTCTTGGGACTCTGAGCCACCGTATCTGGAGAAGCCAAGTGTAGATGCTCCCTCTAGCCAAGCCCCAGCCTTCCAGCCCTACCTTCACAGGCACCAGATACGGGAATGAGGCTGTCTTGCACCCTCTAAACCAGCCCATTCATG